TAACGTCCGTGGAGTGGGCGTGCATTTAGGTGATACGTCATGTTTAAACGGATGTCAGTCAATCCACCGCCTCAACCGCTGTAATGAGCCACGGGAGTGTGTTCCGCGTGACCCACAGGCGAAGCTTTCTCGAAGGGGCTCTGAGCACGTCTGTGTGCTGCGCTTGGCTGTGGGTCCACATTCATGTCTATGTGGCCTGGTGTGTGTTGAGGAGAGGCGTGTGAAAACTGTTGACGCCGCGGGAGTGCGCGTTTGACACCACTGCGGTGAGACACGTGTCGCTCCTGCCGAGAGCGAGATACATTACTGGGCTCGTATAGCGATCTCACGTTTATGTTGACGTAAGCGGCGAGCTCTGAGAAGCTGCGTGCACGCCTTCATAATGCAGCTCCGTATGGGTGAAGGCTGCTCGCGCCATGGGAGAGTGTGTTGCCACCGCTTCGTGAGGGGTGTGCAGCTTGGGCTAAAAAAAAACGAGTTATTCCACTGAGACTCGTTGTACGGGCCACCTTCACTTATGACTGTTGTGTCATGGGGGAGTCTCGCTTTGTTTCGGTGCGACAGTGATTGAAACAACCTTTAAAAGGCCACTGGCTCATTCATGTGTGTGTATGTGGGGGAGGGGGGGTGACGGAGCCGCTGTCAGGTCATCAGAGCTGACAGACTGGCTAAAAAGACACTTTTATCATAAAATGATGTTTTATTCCCACATTTGTGTCATCTTCACACACATCCCTCAAACCGTCATTGAGTCATCTCCCCCTGAGCTCTGCGGTTTGTTGTCCTAGGGCGCCACCTATTGGCGATCTCTGGGAAAAGCTGAACTTCCGGATGCCGGGGATGTCTGACGGGCGGGGCTGGCGTAGCAGAGCGGGGAGGCATTGTGCAGCCGTGGAATGTCTTGAAAATGATCCCTTATTGATGAGGGCCCTCCAAAAAAAAAACTCCCTGCAGCTACTCCGAGAGGGAGGAGGAGTGACGGGCCAGGTGAACTTCTGGGAAACCTCGTCCTCCGGCTGCGATGTGAGATCAGCAGACAACAAAGAGGCGCACTGGTTGAGGATGACGTCAGCTGCCTTGCAGAGGGAGTGTACATCTCCTCCCGCCTCTTGAACGTTGTACGCCAACAGCGTAACGTGCTGTTCACTGCAGCCGCCTGGAACGCACGCTGGTGAGCTCGGTTGGAGGGCGACGTCACCATCTGGTTATGCTTATCCGGAGGCGCGGGATGCTGGTCCAACCTGGACATCTTGCTCCGAAAAGGCCTCCCTCAAGGCTCGGCTACCGGGGGGCACTGAGGGAATTTCCGCTCGGTGAAAACCCTTCCGCTCTGGTAATGGGCATGGATTTGGGAACCGGCGCCCTATTCTACCAGGAACCGGCTGCGGCCTCGTCCCAGTAGGACGTTGCTGCTGGGAACCCGAGGCCAGATGGGATCAGGACGGCGAGCCGGAATGGAGCCCAGAAACCTTCCCGCTAGATCATTCGAACTGGCGGGGAAGGGGAGGGACGGAAAAAGGTCCCTTTGTGTCAGCCGCCTCCTGGATAATGCCGGGCAGCTCCAGAGGAGGGCACCGGAGGCTGGGAGCAGTGTGGCCGCTGATGTGAGACAAGGTGAGGCCCCCTCTACCAACACTACACTCTCCAGGAGGGAATGAGCAGCGGGGGGCTGCTGCTGACATCGCCCGTCCTGGAGGAAACATCCGATTCGCTCCGAGAGTTGGAGGTGAGGAAAATTACAAGATGGTGTCGTCCAGTGTGTAGCGACCTGTCACTGAGAAATACTCTTCGGCGCTTACCTTGAAACAAGACTGGTCGTCTGTTTCTCCTCGGGGAGGAAAACTCACCGGGACGACAGGAGGTTGACGTGGAGGGCCACATGCAGTCTTAACAAAGGTTGGTCAGCTAGACAACTTTCCTTCTTTGTTCTTCTGACAGCGCTATTAGTTTGCTGAAGAAAAATGGGAGCCGATTACCCGCTCTTAACGTAATTTATACGGACCGGGTGGGGCCCACACAGCAGGTGGGCATGGGCTAAATTTTTCAGTGTAATGCTTCGCATGACGGGATAAACCCACTAAGCGACAGCCTTAAAGGGCGAAGCCTATATGAAATAGAACAATGCGTTTTCAAACGGGAACTCTCTGGCTTGTTTCCAGGGGATAAATCACTAAATTTCATTACATTACATGTAATTTTGAAGGTTTTAAGTTGGAGAATTTGTCAAAATTAACTAATATTGAAAAAAGCAATGCTTATCCTGACTCATTTTGCCAACGTGGGTCACAAACATTTTCTTCATCCATTTTTTCTTATTTTAACTGTTCCTATAACTAAACAAAATAAGAACTGATAATAAGAGGGACTGAAGAAAAGCTGCTGCAGGAACCTGGACGTCCAAGCGCTGAGCATGAAGCTGGAAGTTGAAGCCACAAAAGGCCAAAGCGACCCCTGTAGGCTGGCTGCAGTACATTTTTTAAGTCCTGCCTCTACATGTAAACAATTTGGACACTTATTCACTGTCTCGACTCTCATCAGTTTTGTACCACAACGCACCAGTTAAAGGCCTTCCCACTGCCAGCACCCACCTCCACTCAGCTGGTTTATGAGACCACCTTGTTTGTGTTTCCAAGAGGACTGCTCCTAGGAACAATTTGGATGTAAGCAGACAGCAGCTGTTGATTGGCCAGCGGAGTGACATCATTGAATGACCCACCCAGAAACACTGCAACTACTGAACCACCATTTATCTGAGCATGTTGTGTGTGGTGTTTTTGATAGTTTCTGGTATGGAAGCTTCAAAAATAGTGCCATGGACCAATGATGAGGTACAGACCTTCCTAACTTTATTGGTCGATGTTTGGATTCAACGTGAGCTGGACCACGCCGCAAGAAATCAGAACATTTATCGAGAGGTATCGGAGCAGTGGTGTAGTGTACGTGATACCCGGGCATACGGAGTATAAACTTTAAGAATTTCAGTATACCCACTTAAACGTGCTCAATGATTCATGACATATCATTAGGCACGTGTCATTGATACGTTAAACGGCAGTTAAACGCTTCCGTAACAATCTATTGGTATGCAGTGATTTTCTTGGATACTGTTTTATAAATTATATAACGTGTTTAATACAAAGACAACTGTTGTACAAAGTTTGTTGTTCAAGCATCAGAGAAATTTGGAAATGTTCAATATGCTTAAAAATCAAAATACATGTAAATTGACGATTACACTGCACTAACCAGTGTACTTTGGTTTCTAAGCACAGTATACTCACTACAAAAATGTAGACGACACCACTGTATCAGAGATGATGGCACAGCATGGCTACACCCCGACTCTCAGTGCCGGGATAAGCTAAATAAATGAAGTCAATTACAGGGTGAGTAAGGACTGCAATAGGCGGAGTGGCTCGAACACAATGATCTGTTACAATACTGCTCACTTTGCATTGACAATCTTGCCCACAAAATGGGGAAACAAGTCACAGCGGTAAATCACCTACACCTGAGAAGAACCGACAAGACGAGAGTGGATGGCGTCACACTTTTAGTGAGCAGACACTGGTTCCAAAAATATACCGTGACTGCTCCCAACAAATTAATTTTTTGCTTCAATTTTGGACATCCATCCATCTATCCATTATCATACCCACTTCTTCCTTTTTGGGTTGTGGGGGTCACTGGTGCCCATGTCCAGTCATCACTGTGCGAAAGCCGGGGGACATCCTGGACAGGTCTCCAGTCCATAACAGGGATACATAGAGACAAATAACCATTCACTTTCTCACTCACACCTATGGACAATTTAGAGTTACCAATCAGCCTAACATGCATGTTTTGGTTTGTGGGAGGAAACCCACATGGAGAGAACATACAAACTCCACCTAGAAAGGTTCCAGCCGGAATTTGAACTGGTGGCCTTCTCGCTGAGAGGCAGCAGCTCTACCAAATGTGCCACCATGTTGCCAGTTTTGGACAATGGACATAATAGTCACTTTGGTGATCTTTACTGATGATGATGGTGGGACATAAACAAAACTTAAAACCGTATTTTTCAGGGTTGCTTGAAAACAGAACAGTGTTGAGAAACATCTACTAACGTTACAGCGAGAGTGACTGGCAGCAGATCATCTGATCCTGGTTTTCCTTTTGCTTCTTCTAGTTTTTACAGCAAAACGTGAGTTTTCTGTCCGATTAGATTATTACAAAGTAAATCCCGAATTACTGTTGGAGTTAAGGAAAGAAAGTTGACGGATTGTTGGATTGGAGGCACCCTTTAAAAAGTCTTCAGGAATATTCTTGTTTGTTATAAATAAAGGTTGAGAGGTTAGAACTTGGAGGTTCAGGTTTATTTACACCATCATCAAGAGCCTGCCTTGTTGCTCTGCGCGTGCGTCTGTGGCTGGACACGTTTGGTTCAGTTTCCAGAAATAGCTCTTTTGGCGCCTCTCTGATGGTGAATAATTTATTTGCCGCCGTGACATTTGCTCACACCGTCCCTGGATAACTACGGCGCGAGGCCTGAATCCCTCATCAGTGCGCGCGAAAGGTCGCGCGGTATTGATCTGAGCGTGCAAACACGCGCGATATTGTCAGAATCAAACCTCCAAAGTTTGGATCGAGTCACGCGCGGAGCCTCGTTATCAGCACCTTTTGTGAGAAATTACACCTGGCATCAGCGCGCGCGACGACAGGGCGCGAGTTCAGCTGTTTACTGCTCTTCATCCGCCGTGCGTAAAAGACGCGCAGCGGGGCGGGGACTGCTGGAGAGGCAGCACCTCTGCAGCTACAGGTTGCTCTGATACCCCCCCCCCCCCCCCTCCTCTGACATCTGCTCAACCCAGACCCTCATCAAACAGATGGGTGGACCCGAGCCGAGAGGTTCGGGCTGCTCCACCTGCCTCTGAGATGAAAGCACGCGCAGACGGGCTGTTTCTCCGAGGAGCGCGCGTTTTGAGCCACACCACCATGATGCCCCGCACGGAGACATAATAATGGCATTCAGGAGCGGCTGCTGCTGCGGCTCGGGTCCCATCAACGAGGACAACGCGCGCTTCCTGCTGCTGGCGCTCTTCATCATCCTCTACCTCCTCTGCGGCGCCGCCGTCTTCTCGGCGCTGGAGCAGCCCAAGGAGCGCGAGGCGAAGGCGCGCTGGACGCAGAGGTTCGAGCGCTTCTCCCAGAAGCACAACCTGAGCGAGAGGGACTTGAAGAACTTCCTGAGGAACTACGAGGAGGCGAACGTGGCCGGGATCCGCGTGGACACGATCCGAGCCCGGTGGGACTTCACGGGAGCGTTTTACTTCGTGGGGACTGTGGTGTCGACCATCGGTGAGAGGAACAGATGTTTGTCACATCTGTCAGATCCTTCAGTCTCTTACAACCAATAAACCACTGAGCTCATAAAAAACTAATTCATTATCCATCCATCCATCCATCCATCCAACCATCCATTATCTTTACCCGCTTCTTTTATTGAAGTAAATAATGTGACAGTTTGAAAAGCTCCTTCTTTGCTTTCTGCGTGTACAAATATACAAATCCTGAATAACACAAAGGCATGCTTCATAATCTGAGCTTTAACTCTACAGTTTTTTTTTTTAACAAAAAAAGACAGAGGCACTGGGACTTTGCTTCTTGTCTAAGATGTTTCGACTCTTGCTGAGATGTTTTCTCGACTCAAACTGGAATGTGGAGCTTTAAAAGTCCTTGATGACTGAGAAGCTCCACAAACAGTCACACTTTTCCAGTTTTGGTCACTCGTACTTTTGTACAGGAAGAAGTCGCCTGCTGGGTGTCTTCATGTCCTCCCTGGCAACTGCCCAAACACAATTTCATTTTATAGTCTCATTGCTGCTGTGTGTAGTTTGTAATGTTTGCTGCAATCTTAATCTTAATCTATGACTTCTGGCTAATTTAACCATGCACGCTTTTAACACCTATCCCAATAATCCGAGCCTTAAACGTGACCACGTTCTATCCACATAATCCCAGCCCTAAATTTCACCTTTATTTTAGTCATTTTCTTTTTTAAACAAAGTCGTTAATTTTTCGTTTTTCCCCCAGTCATCCCAACCATAAATCCCAACATTAGTCCAGTCCTACTGTTCCCCTCCCATCTTCCTGTCTCTTGATCTTCCCTGTCACCTTTTTGATCCATTGTTATACAGAATAACAGACATGGTGTGAACCCATCGTGCCCAGCTGCTTGTACAACTACTCATCAAACACTTTATCTGAACTCAGTCAGGGCCACCATCTGCCCTGATCTCATCTGTTGCTCTCTAGTCCAAACTTTAAACAGTTAACCAGCATTAGGCGACGATAAAATCTCATAAAAAACCCTAACGATCCTATAGGGCAAGCAAAGGCAACTCAACTGGTGGGTATAGGTGGAGACAAAGAGGAGCAAAAGTCCAAACTAAGCACCACGATGAGTCCAACCAAAGGACTGCCGTGAATCAGAACTCTGCGATCAGCGCTTCCATTCTGGTCCCATTCTTCTGTTCTGTCTCTGGAGGGACTTCAGTTTTGATGACTGACAGTTCAAATCTGAAGAACAGAGCCGTGGGACTCGCTCATTGCACTTTATCCAGAACAGTGGATTTGGAGCTGGATGTAACGAGGAGATTCTTGACAAAGAGAAATGATGTCCTCGACAGCCTGCTGCACTTCACTTTCCTGTAAAATATCAAAGACGGTGTCTCGTTTTTACCTCAAATCTTTTCTCATTTTTACTCAACGTTTTTTACTGAGCTGTCTCCTGCCCCCCCCCCCCCCCCCCCCAAAAAAAAAAGACCGTCATTGTTCCATGCAGACAATATTAAAATGTTGGTCTAAAGGGCAGTTAACTAATGCATAACTGGATAAAAATCAAAAAGTCTCTCCATAGGTTTGTATGTGACCATTAATTTTCAATTCACATAATTAAAATAAATCCAATTATTAGTTTTCAAGCTTTATTCTTACTTATTTTGCCTCTTTTTATCCATGTAAAAAGAAAAGAGGCAGGTTTTGTGTCATGATGATGAACTGCAAATGCCACATTCTGATAAAACTATTTTCAGTTCGTTAGTGACGCCAATCAACTCGAGTTTAAATAATCCAATAACAGAAACATTTATTGTTTTGTTCAATGAGACTGGTGACTGAGTATTTTCTACCAGATATTTGTCATGTCATGCTCTACACATGCAGCATACAACAAGAATGTCCGTCTAACCCTGCACGTACAATCTGACAAGAAACTTGTTTTGAATTCAAGATTTTATTCTACTCTATAGTTTTTGTGTGGATAACATTTAGTATGGTAATAAGAACGCTTTAGACGTGATTGGAGCTTTTTTTAAGAAGTGTTCAAGCAGCTAAAGTGCTCTTCTCTGTTTTATAGTTTCTGTTCAGACCAGACAGTTACTTTATTTTAATATAAATCAAGCTCAAAAACACATAAACCTCTACTAGTATCGCTTTCTTTCAAATAAATAAAACTAACGGAATCAGCTGTGATGATTAAATACATTTGTTTTTCTAACTCGTTAGTGCAGATACAGAAAAGACAACTTATAAACTTTAGGAGTTTCTTCATGCTTGGCTTGAGCCTCATAAGACGACACGGTCAAAATACAACTATTCTGTGGTGGTCAGGACACTTTGGTGACTATAATTGTTCAAAATATAAAATCCATACAAATATGAATACAAAGGCAAATTTAAACAAGTTCAAGATTTTCATCTTTACTTGTTGACTGCAGCCCATGTGTCCTGTAACTGGTAAAAGTACAGGCAGTTAGTAAATGGCACGGTTCTGTAGCAAACAAGTCAAAATAAAGACAGTTCATGCAACCGGAGTTGTTCAATTCTCCACATTTGGGTTTGTTCTGAGGTAACTTTGACCTCAGCGTTGCTCATATTAGCTTTTAGCTTGTCAGTCCAGCCAGAATGAGATAATTTCACTTCCCTCTAAAATATGTGGTTGGTGTCAGCAAACTTGTTGTTTTTGTCTCCTCGTGCGACTTAGCTTCTGTAGCCTCTAGCTACTAGCTTTTATTACTTTTAGCTAGTGGTGTAACGGTACATGTGGGTGTATCGAACCGTTTCGGTACAGCATGTTCGGTTCGGTCCACGTATGCACCGTTTCGGTTATTTTTTCACTCATTAAATTTTATTAACAAGAGATTATGTGCCATGGAACTAAACTTCCTACACGTGTTTCAGCACGGTGCTATTATCTTGCAGCACGCGTAGCATTAGCATCCTAACAGGCAACAAACAAGCCATCTCGTTGTGGTCTCCTGTTTGGGAACATTATGGCTTTCTTGTTAAAAGACAAGTGAACAAATCCAAAGCTGTGCGTCGACGTTGTTTCACGGAGATTGGATCTGCAGCAGCAACACGTCGAACTTGTTAACGCTCTTGAAACAACATCATCCGAACGTGAACATAGTTTGGTTCAAAGAGCGATAACAGCAGCATTTAAACAACTTTTATCAGGTAATTCAGATCGGTCCAGAGCAATAACACAAGCTGTAGGAGTTTTTTTTAAAGCTCTGGATCTACGGCCGAATGTTGTTGATGCGCCGGTTTTAAAGTTATTGAGCCCCGCTGCCTACGACATCCATCACGTCAACACTTCAGCCAAAAAGTTGTAGCAGCACTTTATGTAAAAGCTAAAACTGATATTGTCAACAAGCCCTGGACCAGATTTAAAGCCCTGCCACATGCATGATGAGCGAGAGAGAATATTTAACCACCTCATATGATGACCGTGTAAGAAGAGGTATTGTATTATTGTGATCTAATTAACTTTTTTAATTTAAAATTCTAATATTCTGATGCATGCTCAAGCTTCTTAATCTTATTAATGCATTTTTTTTTATCTCTGTGTTATTTGCAGTCTGAGGATGACAGCAGCTGAGTCTTCTTCATCCACCAGATCACCTCCAGCTAAGAAGTCTGTAATGACCGAATTTGTTTACTTGGCATATGTTCAAAATAAACATTTTGTAAGTCATTATTTTTGTACCGAAAATTAATCGAACCGAGCCCTTCTTGAAACTGAACTGAACCGAAATGTGATTTTAACGTACTGTTACACCCCTACTTTTAGCTGATCTTTTGGTGCTTTTCAGTAGCCTTTTTTCTGATATGCTTTTGGCTTTTAGCCATCATTTTTGATACTTGAAGTTTTTAGTTAACGTTTTGCCACGTTTAGCTTTTAGCTAGCATTTTGCCAATTTTATCTGTCTTTTGCTACTTTTTGCTTCTAACTAGCTTGTTGTTGGGTTTTACTAGCATTTTTCTACTTTTAGGTAGCACTGAACTAGTTTTAGCTTTAGCTAACATTACGTTTAGCTAGACTTTAGCTAGTTTGAGCTTTTAACCTGTGTTTTTCTAGTTTTCAATATCATTCTGCTACTTTTAGTTAGCATTTTCCCCTTTTAGCTAGTGTGGTGCTGGTTTTGCTTTAATAACTCAGCTTCAGGTTTTTTTGGGAAACTTCAGCGATATCATTCAGCCCTCATGGTTGACGCTGCATTTTAGCAAAAATAAAAGCCTTTTCTCTAGTTGTTCAGTCTTTCTACAGAAGTTTACCTCTAACACGGTCAGATCTCAGAATGAGACAAAGATGCAGGCAGACACGAGGAAGCTCAAGTAAAAGAAAAACTGATTAACGAATATAAAGGCCGACGTGACGGCAACAAACTTACACAACGCAGCAGGGAACAACTCAGGAAGCACGAGAGGAGTGAGACATCAGACTGGGAGTCGAGACAATGAACCGACGGTGAAATGGCGATTCGAAGTAGTTTAAATAAAGACTGAGGAAGAGTGGAAAGTGGCAACACCGGAGTGATTAATAATGTGGAACAGGTGTGTGGACAGGTGACTGGGAAGCAAAGTGAGAGTCTGACGGAGGGTGGAGATGAGAACTGACAGAGAACAGAATATAAACCTTAAGGAGAAATAAACTAAAACAACTGAAAAGACACCAACTATGACAACTTGAAAAGATCTGAACTGTCCCTTTAAAGTCTGTTTGTTTTTTTTCCTCGGGCTTGTTCAGTTCTAGTTCTGTTTTCGTCACTCAGCGTGTAAGGAGCCTTAAAATAGCAACACCTGGAGCACCTATTTTAATAAATAAAATGTATTGACTGCATTTTTTTTTTTTTACATCAGCACATGAATTTTTCATGTCTCACAGAAAGACAATAGTCGTCTCGCTCGTGTGTCCAGAAGCAGGAGAATAAGACCAAAACGGTGTTCAGAGATGCAAAAAGAGCCAAAAGCAAATCGGTTACTGTCCAACCAGGTATGAAACAGGGCTGCTCCAAGGTTCAGCATAAATATAGATTGAGATTATTGCTTCTTTTTCTGTGAATGAACCAAATCAGTCGAGTCCCGGAGGCTTTAAGCAAGAGATGAGAATAATAACTCTCATAAAGGAAGTTTGCTTTAAAAAGAAAAGTCAGTAATGTGTTGTAAAACCCAGAAACCCTCATTTACACCAACCACATTCAGGACTTTAGTTCCTGACACCACACTAATTTCTCTCATATCTCCCAGATAACATCATTACTGTCATATTTTATCAAATGGTCAAATAGCTCATCACCATCACATTTCAATGGGTTAGTGAAAACAAAAAAAAGACCCGAAGGTGAGAAAAACAAATCTATAATATCCAGCTCATTTGGTTTTATTGTCGTGTTTGGGAGAAACCTCCGGCTCAATTAGCACCTCGACAACTGATCTGAACGAAGAAGCAATCAAAGCCTCCACAAGAAGCCACCCTTTAGCAAAGCCAATTAGTTCATTCACAGCTTATGGTGGGTTTTTTATCATTGTAACAGACTGTAAAGATTTGCTTTCGGAAAAAGGACTTCTGTTTTATCCTCATTTACAGCTGCTCTACCTGCAGTAATTATTTAATTTGTTACATAACAAAAACTTTTCCCAAAGGGGGGAAAAAAATCAAATGGGGAAAATAAAAATACAGTTGGTAAAACAGAAAGCACTTTGAAATTACGTGGAATAATTGAGGGGTGAAAAAGATGGAAACAGGTTGAAGGAGAGGATATCCATGTTTTAGTGGAGAAAGCTAGTTGCAGGAGGACAATCATGGGAAAAACAGAGAGAAGTAATTGGCCATTTTTAGTGACTGGATGTGCATTTTGTTTAAAAGAAAAAGCAGCTGGAAGTGGTTATCACAACCATTCTGGCTAAAATGAATCCCGTGGCTCATTTGCAAAAGCCTTAAAGAAAATCGAGGTTCTCTCTAAACCCTGCGTTTGTCGGCTGAAAGTAGTCCTTTGTGTTGATTACATTTTTTATTCTGTCCTTTCGTTCAACGCCGTTTATTCATTATGAGGAGAAACTGAGCAATTCAAATAAAAACCTCTCACTGGACGGCCACTGCTGGGGACTAGTTGGCGAACGCCCCTTTCAAGGGAGTCTCCAAAAGGTCTCAAAGCGTTCATGAGTCTTACAGTGTTGCTGCTTGAAGTTTAACATGAACACCTGTGCACATTTTTTTTCCCTTAAATAGTCACAGAGTTGTTGTAGGGATCTCAAACCTGCCTTAATCCCTTCTCAATCTGGTTTCCTATAGATGTGTTTTCACACCCGACTGAGGTCTCCTACTATAATTTACTGAAAACATCCAAGGCTACAACACTAAATGTCCAGGTCCAAACACCTCAACTATGATAAATATGATCATTTAAAACGTGGTCTAAATTTCCTTAACTTCAGTTTAAAGTGTACTCAGAAGATTAAACCATAAATATGGGGGCAAATGCAAAGATGGGTACAAAGTAGGCTACAGTAGGTACGATGTGGGCAACGAAATAATCTGCATGGTCTAGAATACTGTGTTGCAAGTGTGCACAGGAAAAGTTTTGTGATTTTCAAAACCTAGCCATGTATAATGCAGTCACATGACTTACTAGTTGCAAATACTCATAATTCTGTGAGACTGCAAATGAAAATGAGCATATCTTCTCATAATGTTCTCTCGAGCTTTGATTCACCAACTTCAGCCCAATGAGATACTGTCATGAACATGACCCTGTCTTGTCTTGTAGCAGAACTGTCAGCTCACTGCAGAATGTTTGTGTGCCAGGGTTTGGGATGACCACTCCTGCCACCGTCGGAGGGAAAGTCTTCCTGATGTTTTACGGCCTGCTGGGTTGCGCCGCCACCATCCTCTTCTTCAACCTCTTTCTGGAACGGGTCATCACCGTTATCGCCTTCGTCCTCAAGTCCTTTCATGAACGACGCCGTAATAAGGCTGTGCTCCCGCAAAATGGACGCCGCGCCTCTGAAGGAGGCAGAGCAGGTGGAGCGGAGGCAGGTGTAGTGGGAAAGGGCCAGCACCTCGCCGGTTGGAAACCCTCTGTTTACTGCGTCATGTTTATCCTGGGAGCGGCGGCCATCTTGGTGTCCTGTTGTGCCTCGCTGATGTACTCAGCGGCTGAAGGCTGGGAATACCTGGACTCACTCTACTTCTGCTTTGTGGCCTTCAGCACCATTGGGTTTGGGGACATGGTGAGCAGCCAGCGAGTGGTCTACGAGGGCCATGCCACGGTTGCGTACCGGGTCGGTAACTTCTTCTTCATCCTGACCGGCGTCTGCTGCATCTACTCTCTCTTCAATGTCATCTCCATCGTCATCAAGCAGGTCCTCAACTGGCTTCTCAGAAGGCTGGAAGTCCCGTGCCGCTGCTGCTTTCCAAGGAGGGGCCAGCACTCGCACCGGCACCCCCGACGTAACGTGGTTGCCCCAGGCCACCTCCGAGCTCGCAGGGACCCTTCGATTGAGACGGACGCAATCAATGAGAGCGAGACCGACACGGGGCGCAGGATGTCTGGAGAGATGATTTCCATGAGGGACTTCCTGGCAGCCAACAAGGTGAGAAACTCAGGGCAGGAAAAGGTCGTCTCACACCCTCTGTGACATTTTGCCATCTGATGGAATCACACTTGTAATTACATGTCAGATCTGAAGTCACTTTGAACTGTAGTTCACTTTGAGGCCTTGAGCAGCAGAAGGAACATTAACTGATAAGTCCCTGCTTCTTCCTCAGCCCTCATTATCGTCACTTTTAACATTCAAATTAAAGAAGCTATAAATGCTGTGAGCCAGAATCTTCATTAACATGACACAAAACGACACCAGAAACAAACAAGTACAAAAGCAATTGCTATTATTGTGTCGGCTGACTTTTTTGGTCTATTAAGGTTCTAAAATGAGTGGTTCTTGTGTTTCAGCTAGTTTCATCTTTCACTGTCATGACTCTTGGAGATGATTTTTGACGGTAATGCCCTGACCAGTGGATGTTCCTTTATGCAACATTTTCAGCTTGAATCAATTGTCAGCATGACTGTCTTGATTTCTGATTAACATAAAGCCTTGCTTTTCTTCAGTGTGAATTTGAAATAAATATCACAAAGAAACAAGCATTTCTAGGTCAAAATTACTAAAGATATTTTGAGCAAAAGAGGCGTCTTTATCTCAAAAGAACATCTTGACAATACATTTTAAAATTCTTCTTAGCTTCCAGACAAAAATCATAACCAACGTTGCTGAATATTCACTTAGGCTGTGTTCATACAATCCCTTACTCACTGCATTATGAGCGCACTAAATAGGAAACATGGTTAGCTCAGAGATCTCGAACACTACCTGAGTGCAGCAATAATTCATCAACGTTTGCCAAGTATTCACAGTTAAGTATTGAATAAATAAATCCCATCAAGATACTCTGGAATACACACTTGGATCTAAGGCAGTAGTCACATAATTTTGCTGGTTTTGGTTAAGAAAATGTAAATAATTTTTTCAACAATAATAATAAAAATAACGATTCAACCGTTTGTTTTTGGGTTTTTTTGCTCTAAAATAGTTATTGAATCAAGTGTTTACAAAATGTAGGTGCACGTAGATGTTTAACAACGTGTTAAATACACAAGAATGCAAAAAATGGCATCTACTTTATTCACATATTTCTGGGGACGGACCCCCCCCCCCCCCCCCCCAACATTACAAGTACTTCTGGCACCAGTGGTGCAAATATATGACAGGAGACTGGACGATGATTTTGTGTATGAAGGCAAAACTGGAGATTGATGCAACAGAGCTTCGTGCCATGAATGTATCCTGTCTCTTTTTGTTGGACGTTTCCAACCAAACAACTGTACTTGAACATAAGCTATTGAACCAGAGAGCACTAAATATCACTTTGTGTTCATAAACAGACAAAAACTGAACGTGAACACATCTCAATGAGTGACGCATGCTATGCTTGTTTGTAATACAGCACGATGTCCCAACCACTGCCTGTATTTATAGTTGTTGTTTTTTTTGTTCCTAAGTTTCATTCAAGGAGTCAAATGAGGTCTTAAAAAGTCTTAAATTTGACTTGCAGAAACCTTGATTTCACATTTTATGAATATACTTTAGAGGTCAAATACACACTGACGCCGTTATCTGCCAAGCAGTAGGAATTAGCTCCTGTGATTGAGGTGTGGGGTGTGGAAGTACACAATATCCCACATACAAGAAATGGATGAAATCACTGATTAACTCAGCTCCCACATATGAAACTTAATATTCATGTTTTAGTTGTTAATGTCTGGGGAAACATTAATCGACAGGCCACCATCAATCACACATTAATGATGTAATTTGTGGTACAACGATGTTACATTAGAAAAATAATGAGTAAAAATTAAAACAAGCAAAGAGCTGTAGCATAAAAACCACTTTTGCACCGAAACCTGTTAATTATTGACCGGACGTTTACTGCTCTGCTGCGACTCTTTCCCATTCCATCTCCGGTTGTTCGGCATGTCAAATAAAAGGACAGAACGTTAGTCTTCTGCTTTTGTGTGGGTGCTCCATCTTTGTATTGCACTGTTATCATGCAGTCCTGTTCTAGCCCAGTTTCTGTTGCAGGTATAATAACATATGTGTCATAGAGGCAATATTACACTGATTATGTGGTTTTTGCAGACCTTGTTTTTAAATTTCCATTGGTAGTTCATTGGCGTTTATATGAAATCCAGCAATGCAGCACCTTCCCTGAAGGTGGTGTAGAGGTGTACATTGAGTTCAATTTGTCTCTTTGTGTTTTTTAATGTAAATACTGTGAAACAACAAAGACTGATTGTAGTACATTTTATCCAGACAGTTGTGTTGCCCTGGGGGAGTGGGCACACTAGAACACAGCCCTTACAAATAGCAACCATTTACTGTACCTTCGGGGACGTTTCTTGTCAGTTTGACAACTCTAAGTCTGAAGATGTGTTTTTTACCTTGTGTCATGCAAAAAGGCTTCCTGTCCTCTGCTGCTTCGCCTCAGCCCCTGCATCAAACGTTAGGTTTGAAACTTTGTCTTCCGGAGAACCGTTTACCGTAAAGTTGATATTAGAAGAAGTGTCTTTTCAGCTACACACACAAAAAAAAGAATACCAGAAATGTATGTAAAAAAATGATGGTACCACTTTATAATATTTCAGTTTCAAATTATTGTAGTTTATTTGTATAAAGCCAATTCACAACAAATGTCATCTTAGGACACTGTACAGGAATATTACTAAAATGTCAATTAGTGTAAGTTATCTATCTAAGGAGTAACAAAGATTGTGTTGAGTCCTCTTTATTACAGTCTCCCATCCTGAGCAGCACACAGGCGACAGTGGAAAGAAAAAACTCTCTTTTAACAGGAGGAAACCTCCAGCAGAACCAGGCTCAGGACAAGCGGCCATCTGCTTTGACCGATTGGTTTGAGAAGACAGGAATGAGAAACGAGCACAGAATGACAGGTCCAGGTGTAGGTCCAGGTGTAGGTCCAGGTGTAGGTCCAGGTGTAGGTCCAAGTGTAGGTCCA